CGTAAGAATTTACCGCTTGGATTTGGAATGGTTGGTGGCGCTGTGATGGGTAACAAATTGGGTACGTTATGTGTATCGGCTGTTTTTAGGCATGTACCATCAGTAGCTGAGTCAGGTAAGAGACTGTAAAATATTTGCGTATGCTAATGTGAGTGTGTAAATGCATGCATGATTGGTTATAGCGCTACCTACAGGCAAAATTTTGCTACTAAGTGAATACCGCTACAAAAAGCAAGAAGAAAATTTATTCAGGTAAAATTCTGAAGAAAAAAAACTTCCGAGCCATGAAAATTTCATTGGGTCTTTTTAGGTAAACTTAGTAGGTACTACAGTACCTTGTTGCTACAAAGTTTTTTTGACTATGATGATTTAGTGATTTTTGACTGTATGTCTTTAGAACCCAAGTCAAATGTTCACTGATTCGTACATATACTTCACCTACAAATTACACTAATTCATATTTGCAGAGAAACTTGGTCGTAGCAACCCAGAGTTGATTTGTGCAGGTGATGAAGATATAGCTTACAGTCCAAGATTGAAAAAAAAAAGTGCTAACATGATAACATCGGCTGCTGTAAGTGTCTTATCATCTGAACTGTCATCAAGGATGACTTGCCAAGCAAGGTGTTATACTGTATAAATTTAAAACCCAGTTTGTTAAAACTACCAGTACCGGTATATCATTTTTCCGATTAATGTTTTACCTTTTTCACCACCAGTTCCCTCTTTTCTTCACAATTCACAAAATAGTTCTGTTTATAGTCTGCATCTTCAGAAGATTGGGACAAAAATAGCCAAATGTTTTGAGTAAAAAATTAAAATTGACCAAAATTTTGTCTGTTGTTGAAATTAGAGTTCATTTCCAGAAATATTAAAGAATATAAGTAAAAAGTACAGTAAAATTTGGGTGAGAAAGTCCGGTGATGAAAAGGTTAATGCAACATTTTATTTTATTTTAGCAGGTTTATTTTATGATAAAATAGGACATTACCTGTACTTATTGGCAAAACTCAATCTGTTTTCACATATTTCATTCGTTGTTTCAAATCACCAAATAATATCTAGCATGTATATGATCCGTACAGTACAACTTTTTTTAAACAAAGCATATTTCAACTCACAAAATACATACAAATAGATATATGTGTGTAGAAATAATAAAACTGTACCATAAAATCTGTATTAGAAGCCGCATTCCTAATAGAAGCCGCACCCATTTTTTTGAACAATTGAGACCCAAAAATTCACCATTTCTCATACGATGCTCTAATAGAAGCCGAATCCCTTCTGTTGTATTGTACCATTTTAATAGAAGCCAAGGCTGCTAATACAGATTTTACAGTATTTACTGGGTTTTTTTTTTAGAATCAAAAACTCAAATCCAAACTGAGAATTTATTTACAATTACAAATTGTTCACAGCATTAAATATACTCAAAAACACAAAACAAAGAATTTATACTGAGCTAAAAAAAAATCAATGGCTTAAAGCCTGGAATTAAACAAGAAAATTATTTATTTTTTATTTCATTGTCAATTTCAGAAAACTTTGATGACTGCTGGAAGGTCATCTCCATGTAAAGCGTCAGTATTGAACCTTGGTAAGTCAAATTCTTACTTTAATCATCTCCGTCTTATCCTGGGATTAAGAAATAGTGGATTAGATTTCTCTCAAAGGAGTGGTAAATAATTTATTACATGAAAGGAATTAAATCATGGAAGTCTGAAAAATGAACATGAGATAAGTCTGTGTACAGAAAATTTTGGATAAATTTTCATTTAAATCATTTTTTGACACAATTGGAGTCTTTGCAGTTGTGTGTTAGTCAATTTTTTCGTTTCTGCTGATTTGTTTTGAGTAAAAATCCGTACATATTAATCACCTAATTTCCATAATTAGCAAATGTTCGGCTTATACTCTGCTATCTGAAATACAAATGATCCCATTTCAATGAAACTTGGTACATAGATGGCCTGTGGTCAGTTTTTTAGCTTTTCCATCAATATCTCAAGTACATATCAACTTATTTCAATGAGATTGCGACAATCTAATTAGTTTTGGGTTTATAAACATCCATGATAATTAACCTAATTTGCATAATAGTTTTATTCTCAGCTTTCCAATAATGAAACTTGATACATATGTGCTCTGAAACAGACTATATATATATATAAATTAGTTTTGTGTTGAAATCTGTGCATACCGTAGTAATCGCTTAATTGCACAATAATTAACACATTTTCTACCTACGGTATATCTCAAAAACCAATTATTAAATTGCTTTTCAGTAAAACTTGGTACATGTATATGTGCCATGACATTCTAAAGACTTGATTAGTTTTGGATTAAATTTGAGCAAACTAATTGTCTAATCTGCAGAATGTGCATGATATCTCAAAAAATCAGATTTAAATTGAACTTGTGGTAGAGGTGCTCTGGAATGATTTAGATCATTTAAAACCACAGATGTAAAATTGAATTTATTTTCTGTAATTATTATATGAATGTGCATCTTATTGTTTTCAATCTCAATTAGCAAAGAAATATAAGTTGCCAAGCTTCTTGTTTGAAAGGCTAATCTTAAATTATAAATTGAATGTTTCATATGTTTCCAGTGTTCTCAGCACATGGGAGTTCTTTCTAAGCTTTCTTTGATTTTATCACTTCTACTCATTTTAACCTAAATTTGTGTTCAGTTTTTCTTTGGGGTACATGAGAAAGTTATTGTGTATTGTGTGGGTCACATTCATGCAGTCATTTTATGCAGTTTATTATTTTGTTGTGTGTGAAAGTATATAGTTTAATTATTTGTGTTAAATCCATTGTCATGATAATTAATATATGCCTTTTTATGTGATTGCAATAGGACGAGGAATTCTGGAGTTGACTATTGTTCGAGCAAAGGATCTTGTTGCTAAGGATCGCAATGGTGAGTAATAATAAAAGAGAAATCAAGTACTGTGAAATACTTTATTTTAGCTGGAATTAATTTTCGCTGAAAAGGCTTTTTGGGCGTTTTGTATGGAATTTATTTTCACTGATTTTTGATAAGTTGAATGTGAAATATAGGGTAAAAAGTATATTCGCTGGATTTTATTTTCTCGGAATCAACCCTTCAGCGAAAATAAATTCCAAGCAAAAATAAAGTATTTTACAGTACCATATCGCATGCAGCTCTCAAACCTTTGAATTGTACCAGAATAATCACAGTGTTGTTTCAGTGTTGCCATAGTGATTTGTTAATAATGAATGAATATTCCAGCTATGTTGTTGTAGATGAGTAGCTCTCTAATCTGCAACATTGTCTGATCTTTTGCTAAAACACCTTCATTCATTTTGATGTGTTTTTTTTTTGCTTCATGAATAATTTAGTCTCATTCTCAGTTGTTTGTTTCTAAAGATGACATTTTAAAAATGAATGTAGTATTTTGGTGTACATGCAGTATAAATATAACCAGTGCACTTTTGTCTCGAGCATCTCCCAGGATTGTGCAAAATTTACGTACATATGGTGACCAATTAGCATATATCATAATTTTCATTATAATGAACATGATGAGGATATCACTTAATATTTGTCATTTTCTTTGAAAATTCAACATATTCTTACCTACATGCTCAAATGCCCCGCTTAAAGTTATATTGCCGGTAACATTTTGTTTCAAGCGTATGAATTATGGTGTTTGCAAGATATATTCGTGTCAGAAGTTTCTTGGCAATAGTATTTTGACTCGGGCAGAATACTGCCATGGAGACCTGACTGCCATAATCATGCCATAATCATGATTTATGTTGTCAAGGAACGAGGTAATACTGACATCCATGTTGTGTTAAAAGCATATCACAGCAGTGCGTGGTTTGAATTCTGAAACCTCTTAAATACACCCTTCTGTGTATAATAAACTAGCATGCTGAGATCTCCTAAGCTACCTTGATATGTCAGACTGGAATTACGTGACCCGTATAATCGTCACCCAAGCCACACGCCGTTGCTGAATTTCAGCATCCATGCTTTTGTTTCATAGGCTATAGCGATCCATACTGTGAAGTTAAAATTAAAAGTCATCTGAAATTCAAAACATCAACGATTAAAAACTCATTATCTCCTGTCTGGGAGGAAAGTGTTACCATGGAATTACCAAATGACGATGAAGTATTGGATATTGTAAGTATTACCTGTAGAGGGCAGTCTTTTTGAGTTTCTTCCCTTACAAGACTGGTTGTCGTTCAATCTAGACTTCACAGCACCATTTCAAAATAATGAATAGCTTACTGCTATTGGTTATGTACATGAGACAGTATTTGTAATCGTCACATTGACTACATCTATGAATGAGAGAATCCCTGATAACACATCTGTTGATCAAACAGTACCATCAAATCTAGAATAACACAAACAACAATTGCTTTGCAGTGTTGCAAGCTTTCTTGCTAACTGACTGGCCAACAAATTCTCAGAAACCCTGTAACAACCCTACTAATTTAAATACTCAATCATTATCAATTAACAAATCTAATTTCAAGTTTTCACCATGTCCTGATTATAAATTTGATTGCGAATTTTTAATTTACTTTTAGCTGGTCTGTTAACCTTTTCACCACCACTTCCCTCTTTTCATCACAAATTCACAAAATAGTCCTGTTTATTTATAAACAGCGAAATTAACAACTTTTGAATAATTCATTCATTTTCAGTATCTGGGATGTGAGAAAGAGGATTTAAGAACACCCATACATGATTGTTTAATGATTGTAAGAACATTGTAATTCAATAGATTAGATGAAATTACATTTATTTTTGTTTTTCAGAACGTATGGGATCGTGATCCATTCTTTAAAAGAGACTTTCTTGGCTGCATTGGTTTTACATTAGATGAAGTGAAATCCTACTCACATGTAAGTCTTCAGTGTATGCTAGTCACGGTGAAAGTAGTGCTGACACATTAAGGCAGAGCTATTCTTAATTTTAAAAATGAACGAATGTACTTCTCTTTATCCTAGGCTGGTCCTACATGGTTTTCTTTGAGAAAGATCAGATCTGGTTGTGTTCAGTTAAAGTTTAATGTTATAACAATCTCAGAGGTGAGCATTACCTGCCTTGTTCTTAGCTATTGGTAATTCTTACCAGATTTGGTGTGTGCCAGTCTGGTGCAATATTGGTGCACTAGTCTGGCTCAGTATTGGTGTGCACCAGTTCGTTTCAGTGTTGGTGTGTGCCAGTCCGGTATGTGTGGTATTGGTGTGTGCCAGTCTGGTACAGTATTGGTGTGTGCCAGTCTGGTACAGTATTGGTGTGTGCCAGTCTGGTACAGTATTGGTGTATGCCAGTCTGGTACATATTGGTGTGTGCCAGTCTGGTGCAATATTGGTGTGTGCCAGTCTGGTGCAGTATTGGTGTGTCCAGTCTGGTGCAGTATTGGTGTGTGCCAATCTGGTGCAGTGTTGGTGTGTGCCAGTCAGGAGCAGTATAGGTGTGTGCCAGTCTGGTGCAGTATTGGTGTGGTCCAATCTGGTGCAGTATTCTGTGGTATGTATTTGAATATGATTATGATAATTATTCTGCACAATCTATCACAAATGATTCACCAAAAGGAATTTGATGGTAATGAAGGTGGAAGTTCACCATTTGATGATGATGAAGTATTCAAGATGCCAGAATCAGACAGTGAAGTCGTTGTCAAGAAACCACTGGTGGATCGCAGACCCACTCAAGAGCAAGTAAGTATATCAAGTTTAAGAACTGAAAATAAAATATATATAAATATACTTTGGGATCATGAGCAGACCAATGAAGTGTTGGTAATAAAATAATTTGAAAAAAAGAATGTTTCATCTGATTTTAATGTTCAGTTCTCCCAGCTTAAAAATAAGATGACCTTGTAGGGGCAGTATATAGCCCTGGCATTTGGAAGTGAAAATATTTGGGTGTTTTTTATCCACTGACTATAATGTTGCTAGTGGTTTTAAGTATCATGCAAAGATGTACCCTCTATCTACATTGTCATCTTTTTATATTGTATCAAGTTTGCTCTATTTAAACACACAATGTACTTTCGTAAGTGCCCCTTTAATAGTTGACAACCAGATGATCTTTTCAGTTACATGTACGCTTCTTTTAAAAATGCGCTTCTAATAGACTAAATATAGTAAATTGAATATGCTGGTCGTAATCATTTATGGATTCCCTTCTGAATTTTTTTATTTTTCACCACTAGAGGGCGTTGTTTTCCTGCTTAGTCTTGGTACATGAAGTCAGAATTGTCTGTCCTTGAAACTAGCGTCTGAAATATAATAACATTCATCATGTTGAGTGTATATCTTAATGAAAAACTTTTTTTTTCTAGTTAGTTCACAAATGCACAGTATCCAAAGATTATTTGATTGAATTTGCAATTTTTCTGCAAAAATAATGTTCAACTATTCAGACATATTATGATGATGATGATCGATAAATTTGTTGAAAAATATTTTTATTTTGTTGGAGAAATACAGAATATGATAAACAGAATTTTGATGAATATAACAGTTAACAAAAGTATAAACATTTCTGAATTTAATTTCATGTTTTATTTTTTCAGGAGACAAACAATATTAGCTCAGATTCCAAGACGTTGCCATTTTTAGGAGACCAGCTCCAACTCTAGTGGCAGACATCGAGTAAGAAAAACAAAATCCAGTAGTCTTGGGTCTCCCAGGTCTATGTCTAATCTGCCGATGGATTACGAGTCAAAACATGCCATACCGAAAACACCATCTGATTCCACACTACATATGCTATCGAGTCAAGAATGTACACCCAAGAAAAAGAAATCTAAACTAAGAAGGGTGTTTTCCATGAAATTGTAAGTTGAAATTTATTTATACATTTGGGACAACTATTATAGAATATCAAAAATAAAAATAAAATATCTTTACATATCCCATAGACCCAGTTGCGTTGTTGCACGGGAGGAAAATATAATGGGATGTCCCATTGCCAGTTTTTTTTTTTTTTTGATAAATATTTTTTATTACCCATAACAAAAAAAATTACAGGACTTTAATAAATACAGTAAATACAGTAATAAACAAAACAAATAGGAAAACAAAACAAAATCAACAAATAATGAAGACAGATTACCATGTAACTCCAATTGTATTGAAAAAAATTGTGGATTGAAAATTGAAAGATGCATAAACCAACATTAGGTAAAATTACCCCACTTCACCTGAAACAATTCGATAGTGCTATTTTTACTACATATACAATATTCCATTTCTTTTGTTTCCATTACTTTTTTTTCTACCAGACGAAATGAAGGTGAAGTGCCATTTAATTTACAGGAATAAATAATTTGTTTAGTTATAATAATGATATGGTTCAATAAACTTGAGAACTGATCATCGCCCAGTAAAATTTGAATATCTGTGAAGGTGTCTGGGGTATTTAAAAATTCACCTCATCTATTACATATTGATGTCCAAAGGACAGTAACATACTTGCATGTAACGAATAAATGTGTTAGAGTTTCATTGCTATTATGACAAAAAGAACAAAGGCTAGAGGTGACGAGAGGAGGTCTCATACAGTGA